GATGAAATCTGCAAGCAAATGGATGGAAGTAGAAAAAAAAAATCATCCTGAGGTAACCCCGACCCAGAAAGACAAACATGGTATGTACTCACTCATAAGTGGATATTAGCTGTTAAGTAAAGGATAACCATGCTACAGTCGACAGACTCAGAGAGGCTAAGTAACAAGGAGGCCTCAAAGGCGGGGGGCACATGTATCTCCCTGGGAAGAGGAAATAGAATCTATTTTTCAAGTGGATTGAGAGGAAGGTAGAGATTTGAACAGGAGGGGACAGCACATCTTAATCACTGAGCCACCTCTCCAGCCCCTCCAGTTGTTTTTTTGTTGTTTGATTCTTTTGACTAAAGGAAAGCATGGAATTTTCTTTTCTTTTTTTGAGACAGGGTTTCTCCATGTAGTTTAGGTGCCTGTGCTGGATCTCTCTCTGTAGACCAGGCTGGCCTCGAACTCACAAGAGATCTGTCTGGCTCTGCCTCCTGAGTGCTAGGATTAAAGGCATGCGCCACGCCGCCCAGCGGAATTTTCTTTTTGGATTCAGATGTAGGCATAACACAAACACATTTAAACGAATAGGGGGATAAGAAAAACTGAATGTAAGCAAGATTGCCTGCAGATAAACTGGTAACAAAACACAGTAACATACACCTGGACAAGTATCAATCCCATGAGAAAACCCAGCAACTTTAATTACTGCACCTACAGGCACTGGGCTGAGGAGTGTTTCTTTCTGCTTGAGTGACAGCATACTGCTCTGGCACAGCAAACTGTTAGGAGTTTCTTCTCCTATGCCACACTGTCTTCTGATGCTCACATTTATATGTGCAACATAATGACTAATTAATGCATGTAGTGCACTGACAATGATAATAAGGTTTGTGTGGTGGGGGATCAGGTCTAATCTGGCCTTGCTGCTTGCTCCTTTAACAGCCTGGGACCAGCAGCTGAAGAGCAGGAATGGTAGGGCAGGGTCCATGATGGATCTGCTCTGCAATTGGCCATTTTTCATTCTCATTGTTGAGCTATGCTCTGAAAACGTTGTTACCCTTCACCTTCATGAAAAGAACCTGGAGAAGCCCACCGACCGCCTTTGCTATTTGTCCTTTGTAGCTTCTATGAACGTGGAGAACTTTTAAGGTGGCTGTGGCTTGCACAGTATATCCATGGTTGACAAGGAGAGAATATTGGTTAGGAAATGTCTGCACAGAGCATACCCAGGCAAAGGAGACCCGTGCATTTCCGGCTGATCCAGTGGAGGACTGGGAAGCCAGCTGTGGGCTATATTGAAGGTACTTTGCCCAAGAGAGCGAACTTTATGCTAACAGTGAGGCACTGTCTGCTGAAGGTTAACAGCCAAAGCTCACAGAGAGAAGTCGAAGCAGCTATAAGCAGTTAGGGGGGCTTCTTGGTGCTAAAGGTTCTTTGAGAAGCCCTTGAATGTGACACAAGAAAAGGACCACCTTTTAAATGTCTATCAAGTCTCAGAAGGTATCTTGGAGAGCTTTGCTTAAACACAGCTCCCTGTTTATCTTTTATAGTTTTGTTCTGTAGTGCATCTCCCTCTAACCATGTCCACCTTTCCTCTGCAGCTATTTAAAACATCCACAGTCCTTGTCCTCATCTTGTCCGACAGGCTGAGAACCCTCTGAACCTAAGAGGAATTCATTAGCTAGGCAAATAGTAGATACCCTTTAAGACCAGTATCAAGCCAGATGTGATGGTATACAACATTAATCCTAACACTTGGGAGGTAGAGGCAGTGAGATTCTGTGAGCCTGGTCTACACATCAAGAATCTCAATAAGGATTTGTGCTTATCTGCTATCATAGCAAGCACCATGTGGAAAATTTAAACACAGCAAAGAATATAACGGCTTACAGGTTAAGATTAGCATGTTAAGGCTGCATTGTTTAGCTTAATTCTAAAGTGGAAGAACAAAAGAATAAGGAAAGGAGACAATGAGATAGTCTTGTGTCACATATTTCAACAGGTATCAATAAGTAATGAGGTATTGAAAAGATAATAAAAATTAAGTGCTATGGGCACTGGAAATGTCAAAGGATCATGGTGAGCCTTAGTTTAGAGTAGGCTTCATATAAGCCTCTGTTCTTAAGAACTGTCAGCAGGTATATGTCTGAAGAGGAAGGCATGGCAATTCCTTATGTGAGAAGAAGAAGGATCTGTGACTTGAAGTTAATAAGAACAAGAAGTTACGTGGGTAGGTAGGTGTGCTTTACAAAAATCTCAAATGTGGTTTGTTCATTCTTGGTTCTCATAGTGAAAGAATGCTTTTGGCTCCTTTCTCACTGTAGTTGCGTTCTCATCCTTACTCACGCATTGTTTACTTCTTGTGTGGAAAGAACAAAACATTCATGTCTGGCTGGACCACAATGTGGAGGCAGTTAAGGCCGGACAGGGAGAGGGCTTGTCCAATGCCCTCCCCCAAATACCAGGGTCCAGTACCACACACTCCACTATTAAAAGGGTCAGTAAGATTTTAAGTACTTCAAGAATCTGAAGTCAAGAGGTTGGGGCAGAAGGGTTGTGAATTTGTGTCTACTCCCTACTCTTTAGTGAGTCTGAAGGTCAGCCTGAGTTACAGTGAGATTCTGTTCAGAAACAAACAGCCAAGCGTGGGGTCTCACACCTGTAAATCCCAGCTTGTTGGAGGCTGAGGCAGGAAGACTGCTGTAGCTGAGGCCAGCCTGGGCTACATAGTGAATTGAAAGCTAGGATGGGTTACAGAGTAAGATCCTGCCAATAATAATAATAATAATAATAATAATAATAATAATAATAATAATAATAATTTCAAAAATCAAATCAAGAACAGAAACAAAATACAATCCAATCAATCTACCACCATTACCATAAACTACAAAAAAAAAAAAAGCATAAGACCCCAAACAATCTTCCAAGCAGGTAAAAATGTCTCATTTGGAGTTATTCTGCCTTGGTTATTGTGGTAGTTTGAACAGGAATGGCCCCCATAGGCTCAAATATTTGAATGCTTGTTCATTAGCTGTGGCCTTGTTGGAGGAAGTGTGTCACTGGGGTTGGGCTTTGGGGTTTCAAATTCTCAAGCCAGGCCCAGTGTCTGCCTTTTCCTTCTCCCTTCTGGTCAGGATGTAGAACTCTCAGCTCCCTCTCCAGCACCATGTCTGCCTCTATACCACCATGCTTCCTGCCATACAATAACAGACTAAATCTCTGGAGGAGTAAGCAAGCCCCAACTGAATGATTTCTTTTTTAAGAGTTGCTGTGGTCGTGACATCTCTTCACAGCAATAGAACACAGGCTGACTATGACAGTTATCCCATGAGAGAAATTTTGGACATGTCTTTCACCAAACTAGAGACATCAGACTGAGTAACATAATACAGCACCTGTGAATTACTGCTTGTGATGAAGTCCTAAGTCGACACATTTACACATTCAACCACTCATCATCAGTCCCATAAAACAACAATTTCTGGAGATGTACCAAGTGTCATGCAGTGTTCCTTTTGTAACAATGAAAATATTGTCCTTATTATATCAGTGTGTACGCCAGCCCATTGGCGATGGGGAAGATACATGAAATTAAAATGGTGAAACATTGTCACAGCTGGAAGATGAATACTCTGGGATTTATTATATATTTTCTTCACTTTTTGCCATGCTTGATCATTTTCTTAATAAAGTTAGATCTGACTAAAAACTGTCTTTTCTTCCAAGCAAAGGAGCCAGATTTGATAGATGCCTATAAAACAGGGAAATTATACCATGACGTTATTATTTCTAGGGTATCAGAAGAGATATGTTCATGGCAATGTGAGAGGTGGACAGGAAACACCTCTTTTTAGAAGAGAAGAATCCACAGAAGGCCTAGCTCAGACTGAGTAGTGAATTGGGCTCCATACAGCCCCACTTAGGCTTCAGGCTGGGTAGAAGGTACTTGTGGTCAGGGTGAGCAGTAAAGAACTAGTCTACTACAACACCATCACCTTATCCTCTTTCTTCTTCCTTCTCTTGGCTGCTTTAAATCCAGCAAAGTGATTAGACATATATCACCAACATGTACCAGGTGCTAATACAAAGGCTGCAGGCTATTCCATTCATATCCTCTCCAGAGCTGGGAACCAGGAGTCCAAGACATTCCTCAAGGTATGGGGATTGTGGTACAATCAGGCCAAGGGCAGATCAAGCACCAGCCCTTCCAAATCAAAGCAGGGGAGGTAGGTCAGAAACCTGAGCTCTGGCAGTGGTAGGTTCAAATTCCGACTAGCTTTTGCAGCTTTGAACGAGTCACCTAACGTCTCGGAGCTGACACAATTTCCTCATTTATAAAGAGTGCAGTAAAACCTTGGAGGGTTTGTTGTCAGAAGCAAATTCGGACACTCAAGATCATACCACCAAAGGAAGACTCCATAAATGGCAGCCATCATTCTTGGCCAAGTGCTGGCTCGTCCTCCCGGGCGCGCCTCCTGCAGGGTCCCTCAGGACAGACTGGGCCCGCCTCCGAGGCTAGGTTTCGATGCTCAAGGCTAGTGGCCCAGCATCTGGGTCTCCTCCTGGAGCAAGCAAGGGGCGCGGGCAGGTGGGTTGACCATTCCCTGCAAGGATCGCCCCCTCCCCTCGGCTCCCATCCCTGTGCTGCGAGCAGGTGAGGTTTCGCCCAGGCTGCTGGGATTGTGACCGCAGGAGGGGTCGAGGCAGAGGGCGCAGCCCCAGGAACTGGGGGTCCCTCCGGCTGCTGGTTCCATAGCCGGGTTAACCCAGCAGCCGGCTGGGGCGCGGGGCCCGTGGACTGCGCGCTCTGCGGCTGCGAAAACCCGGAGAGGCGGATGGGAGCGCTCGAGGCGCTCGCAGCCAACTCCTCCGCGGTCCGGCCGCCAAGCTGGGCATGCTCAGTGCGGCCGCCGCGCCGCCGTCCGCCAACTCGGGAGCTCGCGCTCCCGGGCCGTGGGGGCGAGAACGCCGGCGGCGGCGAGCGACGCCCCCAGGCAGCCGCAAACTTCGCGGCGGCGTCCGCAGTCTGGCGAGACAGACACCTCGCAACGTCAAATCCAATTCCCTTCCCCTACCTGAGCGATGGAGGCTGCGGCCGCCAGAGCGTCCCGGCCGCCCGCCCCTGCCTAGCCGCTAGCTAGGGACCAACAGGTAAACTGTTGGGGGTGGGGAGCGGGGCGCGCGGCGGCCAGGGGCGGCCCGGGGAGCCGGGTCGCCGACGCGCCCGAGGTGTCCGTCGGGGCT